TATTGCAAAAAAATTAGCACCATTCGATTCAGCGACGTCGAATTACCTTTGTATCAAACTGTCGAGAACTTCTACCTGAAAGTTTTTCCTTCACCTCTTATTGACTGGGCTATAAATTCATGCAGAACTTTTAAAGCGATACACCTTATTCGTACACTTCAGTATGTTTATTGCCATTACTAACTAACGGCTCTTTCTACTCGATTTAAAGAGAAAATGTAGAGAACACATTGGAAAAAATGGAGTAACAACAATCAATTTCTGGGAGCATATTCGTGGTAAACATAGAAAAACGTTCATGCTTATTTGAAGAAAACCTTACCTTCTTGATCGTAGTCCACTTCGTGAGTTGCACTGAAAACACTGTGCGCCTCATTGAGAAATCTGGTCGAGTCGTCCATTACCATTTTGTGTGAATCCAATACCTTCTCTTCTAACATTTGTAGAACAGAAACTGCTTCATGGAAAGTATAGAGGTCTTGTGAAAGTTCACCTTCCTAATTAATCGCAAAAATATTCCTTTTTATTTTTACTTCTTCACTGATTACAATAGGGATAGAATAATTGCTGCATTACTCACATTCAAAGATCGAAGTTGTGCAAGATCACTGTCTGAAAGAACACTATTGTTGGCCTGTTCTTCTATCTTCAATCCTCGTTCATCGTCCGTGGGTGAAACTTTTATTTCCGATGGATCAGTTGCAGCTAATTCCTTTACTCTATCCGCGTACCTTAACGTGTTTAATGAATGCTCGCAAGAACTCATACCAGGACTAATCATCGCTATCTATAAATTGCATTTATATAAATATATATATATATAAGTTTACAATAAACGTTTAATATATGATAGAAGCAAATTTTACTAACCATACAAGTTTTTGATTTTTCACCAATAAAACTGTCCCTCAACACCTGAGTTAACTTACTTGCTCTGAAAGGCAAGTGTGCTCCTTTACGACTTAGAGCACGAATACACTCTTTTAACGCTAGCAAGGATTTATTTATCTCAGCACCCTCCATACCTATGCCGAATTGATGACACCAAATTCATATATGTAAGATAATACGCACGGTTAATATACATAGAAAATAATTTAATAGAAAATAGTAATCTCACGCGTTTGTCTATTCGCCGAAGAAGTATCGGCGCCTCTTTCATTTCCAGCAAGATCAACAAGAGAAAATTTTCCGTGCACTCTGTGCGTACCCGAGGTTCTTGCTATTATTTGAAATATCGCATGCGACCTCGAAGAATTGGAATTTGCACTCGTTTGGCCACTCGTTCTAGCGCTGTTACCATGTTGTATTAATTTTAATACCTCATCACACGTTTCTACAACTTTTTCTGTCAGTCCAACTATTTGAACCTAGAACAAAGTCACACACACATGAATATTACATTTTTTTTTATATTTATTCAGTAGGACTGATTTGAAATAAGATTTATTAATAGCTGTCATACTTGTTGTTTCCCATCCTCTAACACTCTTAGTTTTTCTTTATCCGCCAAGAGATCAAACACTTTTCCAGAATAGATTTCGAAAAAACTAGCAGAGATAACGAGATTTAATGGACGATATTTCGCCATTTTAAGACATTTGAAGACATCCTTAGCAACCATAGCGTATATACCCTTTTTACAGTCCTGCGTTTTACCATTAAAATCACCACCCATAGTATGCGTTTTTCCACTACCAGTTTGTCCGTAGGCGAAACATGTTGCCATACCACCTTCAAAAATCGTTTGTACCAATGGCTTTGCTGTGTATTTGTAGACTATCTCATTGTTACATGTCTCGTCAAACGCATAATCGAACCTAAAAATCTGATTCTCCAAATATTTCGTCAAATCTACTTTGGCTTTTGGTTCGTGGACTACCATTTGACCTTTACTGGGCACACTGATCACGTCGACCTCTTTACGTGCTACTTCTTTTTTATTCAATGGTCGTTTTCTGACGCATACGGTGATTTGATGATCCTCAACGGTATCAGTTTCTCGCAATGGTCGAAATTCTATACTATTCTGATATTCTCTGAAATATGAATGAACATTTTTATCAATAGATCGTCAAATGAAGATATTTAACGATTAATATATATATATACAGTAGACTCTCGTGTAACGTAGTTATACATTACGCGTTGTACGAGAATTTGGAAACAAGATCATATCGGAGGCATATGATCATGTAAACTTTTTTTTATTTTAGCGTAACGAAACCATCTCTAAGATTATTTTCACATATTTTGAAACATTTTGCATATATATATATATATTTGTATAAATTTAAATTCAGCTGACCTAATCATGGCAAGAAATTCCCAATTAGGATTGCCTGGATCTAAATTCATCAGAGCCTCCTTTTCTTCTTTAAGTTCCGCCTGGCGTTGTCTCCTTTCTTCCCTATTTTTTTTCAGTCTTTCTACTTCCTTGACGACATTGGATCGTCTACCTCTACCATTCTCCAATTGTGCTTGTTGTTGCTGTTGAGCTTGTTGTTGCTGCTGTTGTTGCTGTTGTAGCTGAGCTTGCTTTTGCTTGCTCTGAGGGGCAGCCGTAACGTTTAACGGTGTCATCGGAGTCGGTGGTATGTTCTCTAATTCCCGTCTTCCCGTCAATCCAGAAACAGAATCACCATGACCATTTACTGACGTTACTGGAGCCATAATGTTTGTCGGTCGACCTGTCTGTCGTGATGTTTGTCTCGTATTCACTGAAATTATTTGATTTATTATATTAGAAGAAAAAAAGGGGGAGAATTCTGCTTGGGTTGCATCGTCATTCTTATAAGCTTCAAATAAGTGAAAAATTATTTGAAAACTTAACGAATAAATTCGTCTTACCATCATCGATCTCCAAATTAAGTATTTGATCGTTATCGTTTGTAAATCTTTCACAGACAACTTTGTTCCTTCTTTTGAAACAGTACAATAGAGGATCAAATCTCATGATTATGATAGTTAATTGAATAACTTTTTAAGAAAATAAGAAATGAAAACCGAAGAGTGACCAGCTAGGAACGAACCACTCGACTGCTAGCAACGTATACACTATACTGAGAGTTCTGGGGTCCTTGCCCTTGTGTTCTAGCATATAGACTAAAAATATCGATACTTTTCTATGTATGAGTTTATGCCTGGCCACACGCGACACACTTACTAACATACGTTCTTGTATTCGTAATATCGGGCTTCTTCCTAAGTGGAGAGAACGATGGCGCATACAATGAATGTAATGTTAGGGCAGCCGAATTGACTTATCGAACGTGTTTTTCCATACTAAAAACTTGGTCACGTTTGATATTCACACGAAAAGACTTTCAACATTCTAGATTAATGGTTTAGTTGGTCTCGATGATGATGATGATGATGATGATGACGACGACGACAACGATTAATAAACGTACCTTTTACTGGAACAGACGGCCTCGAGGAGTACTGCAAAATAAAAAAAAAAGATATACGTTAACGATATTATCTAAGATTAAGTTTAATGCCCTCTTGAAAAAAAGAAAGCAAAGCAACGAACTTTATACAAATAATACAAAGTTTGTTCCCGAAATAAAGAGAGACCGACCGCCGGCCGGTGCTATAAACGAACGTTTTTTTTCTTTTTTTCTTTTTTCATATTTATTTTGGAATTAATTTCTTTTTTTTTTTTCTTTTTTTTTTTTTTTTTTTGCCGAGTGTATGATACATATTTTGCTTGTGTACGTATATACGCTGCCTCTGAGAAAATCCAGTACCCATCATTCATTCCAGTGGTAATAAAATAANGCAAAGCAACGAACTTTATACAAATAATACAAAGTTTGTTCCCGAAATAAAGAGAGACCGACCGCCGGCCGGTGCTATAAACGAACGTTTTTTTTTTTTTTTTTTTTTTTCATATTTTTTTTGGAATTTTTTTTTTTTTTTTTTTTTTTTTTTTTTTTTTTTTTTTTTTAAAGCCGAGTGTATGATACATATTTTGCTTGTGTACGTATATACGCTGCCTCTGAGAAAATCCAGTACCCATCATTCATTCCAGTGGTAATAAAATAAGGAAGAGACCATTGAATGAGAGGTCGTGAGAGAGAAAGGGAGAAAAGTTGAATATAGTGTGCGTTTCCGTGTAAGAAAGAGAAAGAAAGAATATATGTAGGAGAGTAGGACTTAGAGAGATGTTTAGGGGTAGGAGTGCGCGTTACCGAAAGACGAGATGTGACTCGTACAGGAAGCGTTGCGGATGTAAGGCCATTTCTTGCGGTGTGACCGCCACCACCGTGTCGTCCGAGGGAACCTTCTTCCTGATTTTCCAATTCGTCAACCCCCTCATCCTCCTCACCGGAAGAGTCCTGCGTTCGTTGTTTTTATTTATTTATCACGTGTATGCGTGTGTGTATTGTTTGCCAACGATTTCCGCGTTGATACAAGGAAAAAGGGGGAAGAAGATAAAGGGAAAGAAAAATGGAAATTGAACGTTTTATATAAATGGTCGATGTTTATATACGTCGGCGAGAAAATGATTTATTTCATTTTTATTCCGGAGTAGATTTTCCGAGGTCGACGATCCATCCATCGGTACACAGAGATCCATGGTTAAGAAGAGCAGCGTCCATGAAGGAAAAAAGATGTTGCGATGTTAGTAACATGAATGATGGAGCTCGCACGTTACAACTTGGACGTCAAGGGGGGAGGGAGATTTGTCGAGAAAACAAAAGAAATAAGGAAAAAGAATCTTGGGACGTGTTTCACTTTGTCCCTAAGCCTCTACAAAAATACATGTCATTTGCGTTATGTAAAAAAATAAATCTAGAGTAATTTTCTCTTTTGTGTAACATCCGTAGAATAGTACAAATTAAAAAGTTACCTATAATATGAGTGAAAGAACAAAAGAGAAAAGATATTACACGATACGAACGCACTGATCGGATTCAACTTTTGAACAAAATATTATTATTCCGTGTACATACATAAGAGACCGGAAGTATGATGGATCAAGCCTGTACGAGTATTTCGTGTAAATTAAATGAAAATTGGCGAAATTTCAATACTCAACGATGAACGATCGTACCTGAAGAACATACATGTACTGAAACATGCCTACGACCGATCCTTAATGTCGCTTTATTGGTTAAAAGAGGAGGAACCATGCTGTTCTTTTCACTATAGAAATATGTACGTATCCGAGGCAACGAGTAAACAGAATTCGATTCTTATAGTCAATAATAAATGGTTACTTCATTCCTTTCACTAGAGAACTAATGACATTATACACCGTACACCCTTTCTCCTAATATGATTCCATTGTAATATATAAAAAGAATATATTTTAAGAATCGGATCAATGACAACAAATTCTACAGATTTCTATAGAATAATAATATTAATAATAATAGTAATAATAAATTTCAACGTACCTTCACTAATTCTACCACATTATTCATTTGCGGTGGTCCCATCGTCTTTTTATTTAATTCGGGATTCAAAGCGAGAATCGCATCGATCTCCACCTAAAATGAATGCAAATTAACGGGATCAAAACAATTCTTGTTCCATATTAAAAAACCTTCGATAATGAATTTAAATGACACGCGTTTATAAGGAAACATGATAGTTTACCTTTCGGCGTGGTATCAAACTCGGCAGATAAGGCATTATATAATTAACGCGTTGTACCGAATATATCGACAAGTAAATTGATTTATTTTATTTCTAATCAATTATGATATTGCTTGTATAAAGAAAAATCACAAGAAACCTGTTATCGAGCTCAGAAGAAATCACATCGAAGTAGCTTTGAAGCTTGTCGGAAATAGACTCACGTTCCCATTAGTAGTGCATGCTATTGCGTTCGTCGCTGTTGCGTAAGCACCAATTCAAAAATAGTGCGAATAACCGTGACCTACGATTTTTAAAATGAAAATTCCCAAAATCCCATACAAACATTTTTATTTCAAATTCCCATTTAACTGTATGATCAACGCTTAGATATTTTCTCCTATAATTTACAAAAATTAAATTGCTTAAACTTTTTTCTTGTATATCGATAACAGTAACGCTAACCCCACTATAAAAGAGATTCAAGTTGATCAAGTTTTACAGATTCTTGAGTGGCTTCAATCACGAAGTGCAAGAGAAGTTAATAGGTGCGCAATTGAATATTTTGTCTTGCGAAGAGTCCTCAATTGAAATTGATTATTCTACGGAGAATAGAACAATTCACCGAAAATAATGCGGTCGAATTATATGGTTTTGGCACGAAGTCAAATATATTTTATTAATAACAAATGCACACGATTCTTCTACAATGACTTACCTCTTTCCCTTTGGTTTCTCCTTTTTCGAACCATTCTACAGTCACGGTGCGTTGCTCCCAATTAACACCAGAGACGATAGCCGAATGAACGCGACCTAAAAGAATAACAGAGAAAGAAACAAATTAATAAACATACTAAAAATTGTCATGGTTTTCATAATTTTACAATTTATTCATTTAAATACAGAGAGGACTAAAAGCTTCTAGATAATTTTTCGTTGATCTACCGTACGATACGCGTTAAAAATATATACCGTTCTCTTCACTTTGCGATTTAGCAGGACCTATCATTTCCCGTTTAATTCGATTATGAGACGAAGGTCTTGGTATCAAGGATCCTTCTCTTCCCCTACCCTTTTTTCCCCTTTCACGATCCTCGTAATCTTGAAGTTTAACTTCGAAACTACAAGAATTCAATTTCTTTTTAAAATCTTTCTTATCAAAGGTAGCTGATTTTACAGAGGTCGACTCGTCATCGGGGAATCCAAACTTGTTAACGGCACGAACAAAAGAAAAATCATTTTCTTCGCATTTTCCTTTAGATTTATTTAAAGAAACTGAGGGAGAAGAACGTTCGACAACACAGTCGCTGCATTTTGATCTTCTAATTTTGTTTTTCTTCTTCTGTTTCGTTACTGCCGGTAGTGATTTTTCTCGATTCTTCGATCCAATTTCGTAATCGTTAGAAGGACTTTTGACAGGAAAGTTGATCCTCGATGATATCCTCTCCTCGTTTCTTCTAGCTCTCGAAATTTTCAACGAGTTCTCTGAAAACGTATCGTCTTGCCTTTCACCAGTTAACAACAACTCGAATGCAGGACTAGACGTACTAACGGACGTGGCCGTTGATTTTTCCAAGATTTCTTCCTCCTCCACCGATCGATAATCTTTCGAGGAATCTTTGCTCAAGGAATCGTCGCTGTATCGATGATGATGATCCTCCTCCTCCTCCTCCTCCTCCTCCTCCTCCTCCTCTTCCTCCTCGTTACTCGAATCCTGATATTCCGAGTGATTTTTACGACACCAAACTTCTTCGTTTTCGATCAGTCTATTAAAATCATTTTCGTGACTAAATCTCTTCTCGTTGGTCGTCCAGGTAGATTCTAAGAGGAAACCATCGCTCGTAAGAACTTTTCTTTCCAATTTGTCCTCTCTCTCGTCGAATAATATTTCATCATCCTCCTTCTTGTTCACTTTGACGTTCTGTTTTCTAACCTCGTCCACGTTAAGCGATTTGTCGGAAATCGGCGATACGTCGACCGGAACCGTGGATGAAGAATCATCCAAAATTTTGGATTTTTTTCTATTCTTCCGAGCGGTCTCTTTAGGTCTCTCTTGCTCCTTATCAGGATCCTTCTTCTTGGAGCCACAAACACAACGCGACAACCACTCCATATCTATAAATGTCTTTTAAATGGAAATAGGAAAAAACAAGGACGACATCCTGACGATTTTGTTCATCGTCCTGGATGCTACCTGGATGCTACCACCTTCGGATCTTGAAGTAATTCCTCTTGTAAAGACCCGCGAAGAGGTTGTGTTGTCACCTCGAGGGAAAAAAGCTTCGCCATTTGTGGCGAAACGATAACCATGAAGATGTTTCGATCGAAGAAAAATCGAGCCTTCTTCCACGAGTTACGACAATCGAATGTCGTTGTGTCTTTTCCGATTTACCCTTCTATCTGGTGTCCCGATGCAACCGGTATTTCTCTTTCTCCCGGTGCCCCCTTCGCCGCTCTTTTTCAAACAGTTATTTTCTACCTTTTCTGTATCCTCGTCCGTCTTTCTCTTTGGCTACTTGCGTAAAAGCCGAAGCGTTTCCCCAAGGTGTAATCTTACCTACCAGTTGGTTTCGAGTATCGAAGTTACCGGCTGCTTAGTAGAGTCACTCCGGTATCGGTATCGTCGAGTCGATTTTCGCTCGTCTTTCGCTTTCCTCATCGTAAAAATCAATGTTTCTGACCATCAACCAATTTCTTTTATCCAAAAAATTATCTTACGTGTCCATGTTATATCTCTGTTGGGTACTATATCGTATCTTCTTAAATACACTTCATAGGTTTACCACTAAATCATACAGTTAATATCAATTTTTTTAACTCGTTCGTTGTATTATTCAGAAAAGTGATTTTGCGGTATGCCGCATCGTTTCTCGGCTTTCTACTTTTGTGGTTCGAAAATAGAGGAAAAAAAAAATAACAGAGAGAAGAGACGTAAATTAATATCACCGAAGAGACGAGAAGGAGAGAAAATACGTTGACAATTTTTTCACCAACATTCGTTCACCGAGAGTCGATACAGCCGGAAATAGAAAACCTTCCATGTGTCTAACCCCCTTTCTTTCTTTTCCTTACATTCTTTTTTCTTCCTTTTTCTTTGACCACGCTTTGGTAGTGTAGTTTAAAACGTGCTCCAGACAAAATATCTGGAAAAAGGCACAAATGAAAGAAGAAGACGACTGGCAGAGTTCAAATGCTTCGAATTCTTTGAAATTTTTCCGTAAAAATATTCGCAGTTTCGTTGGCACTGTAAACAACTATCTTATTCTCAACTTTTTGTGATAAATAATGAGAAATAAGTTTATATGAAAAAGTTTCACATCTAACTTGTAAGTAAATAATTTGGCACTGATCCCATTCACGATCACGTCGTTCTCAAGTGAACCTTGTCCTAGCATTTAAACGATCGACGGGGAAAACAATGTCTTTAAAAGGAGAACGGATTAGCGGAACATCACCACCACCACCACCATCACCACTACCTCCGAGAACAGCAACGACGACGACGACGACGACAACAATAATAGTGGCGGGAGAATAGCAAGAGGAGCGTCATAACTTCGTCTCGTTCGCACTGGCATCGCTGGATCGACTGACAACATCCTCTTCGGGAGAGCTTGTTTTAATAAACGCATTTATTATGACGCTCGGGAAGTCATTTCTATAGTCCCCTCTTCGTCATCCCTTAAGTAAACAATTTCTCGACTCGACTCGACTCGATGAGCTCGATCACGTTACGCGCTATCGAATCTTTCCTTCATACATATATTATAATTATGTTCTCGAAAAAGTTCTATCTCGATACCGACAAACTCCATTCTGATGTATTGTAATTAATTCGAGTGACAGAAACAAGTTTCTCTTTTAGCAATTACGGGCATACGTATACAAATTATTCGACAATCATATAAAGAAGAAATCGATTAACCTCGAGAAACGTACACGTCCTCGTTTTTTATCGTCAATGATATATGTAACTCGTCTCCGATAAACTTCCTAATTGCCAGAGAAATTAGCTAAGCATCGTTAATAGAGTTCAACTGGGCTAACAACGCGAGCACATTCCGCTGAGTATTTCAAAGACTTTTAGATTCATTTACCAGTGTTATAGGAAAAGAAGATAAAATTGTCGAAGGTTGTTAATTACTTAGTTTCCAACAAGGAAAGTTTACAAGTAACACGAAAACGCAAGAAACATACAGTTTGCAGCATCTTAACGACATGATGCATCGATGTCTCTATGCAGCTATCTATGAGGTACGAAATAACAAACTCATCTAGTATTCGTGATAGACAACTCAACTCTTGTGATGCGTGACTGTGCTCGGTACACCCATATTTATTTACACTGCACTCGGAAGTCGAGCCGATTTTCTACGTGCTGCGGCCGCAGCATACGCACACATAGGGAGACACATACGGAAATATGCACTCCTCTCTTTATGCATCGAACGCGATCGTTATGCACCATTTTTTTTTTATTTATATCCGCGTTCCCTTACCCGCCTTGATCTTCGGTCGTTCGTGAAAAATTCGCAAAGGATCTTGGCTAACGCGATAAAAAATAAAAAATAACACGAGTTTCCGTTGAGATTTTAATCCAAGTATTTGGCTCGCTTCCCGATTAAGACGCGTGTTTTAAAATAATCAGTTCGGGGGTCCACTCGGCGGTCTACGGTCTATTGAACATCAAATTTAAGCGGTCGTTTCCTGTCGCAGATCCATCGCGTGGTAAAAAAAATAAATGAACAATATCCACGCCATTTTCTCTGAACGCTCAATTTACATTACTTTTAGGGTTTTTATCCTTTTTCTTAAGTTTAACATTAGAACGAATATTCGTCCTTATCGCGTTCTCGTTACCAAACTCGTATTCCTATAGATTGGGAAAGAAAATGGCGTCGGGGCAAGGCAAACGCGATTGTCCCTGACTCTCTCGGGTCTCGTTAGCGGCATCGAAATCTTTCCTTATTCGGAATCGTGTGCCTTTTTTAAAGGCCTTGACATTTTATTTCTTTCTCGTCAGATTTGGTTACGCACACGAGGTCATCGATGGTTCTTGCCGTTTGATAATTATTATTTAAAGCAAAAAATAGGAATATATAATAAGTAGATTTGCTCATAATTTATTGCAAATAATAGTACACGTTTTATCGTAAAGGTGACATGGTAAATGATTTCTTAAAATAGCTGACGGTGCAGTGGATTTAACTGCACTGAAATTGAATTCAATTAGTGACGCAAGACCGCTTGCTTTTTCAGCCTTTGTAAGTGCAGTAGATTTCAACGCGTTATTTTAATGGACCATTTTTCTAACCGACTTTTCGCACGAATAAATTCGCCTTGGAAGATAGGAAGTTCTTTTTCTCATTTGCAGTCACAAATCAATTGTTTATGAATCACGATGAGGGATAAAATAAATCGAAAAAAAAGGAGATATTAATGAGATTACGAAAGAGTGCGCAACGGGAGCGCGAAATTCAAAACAGATTGAACGAAGGAACTGCAAACGCCATCGTTCGTCAGTATCAGTACTTGTAATGTAAAAATCTCAAGCCGCTCACCGAGTGACTTTAGCAATGGGTGCAAACCGAATTGAACTACATAACAGCGTTACGAGAATCCTGCCCTTTTTCTCAATTGATCGATATAAGCGTGTATGCTTGTTGGTTGACAATGGAAACGTTATGACCTTCTCGTCGTCAGCGTGCAACAATTGATAAACTAAAGTGAGCTATTAGACAATGTATTTTTATCAATTTTTACAAAAATGGCACGAAGCTTAACTGCATTCCGTAAGAGAAATGAAATGTTTTGACGCTATTTTCGTACTAGATTGACGTAGCCTACATTACTTTGTTCTTGATTGAATTTTTCTCCGATTATAGTGATAGATTCATTCTAAAATAAGGACAATAACAACTAAACGAAGTATTTCCTTACGTAAAAATGGCTCTTGGAAAACCTTGCAAACGTACACGCTTAAATACCGATCGAGTTCGTGCTTGAAATTGCCGCTAGATAGCTCAACTCGACGAAACTGTTTTACCATCGAATACAAAAAGTCTGTTGGATTCTCGCGACACCTACAAATGATTAATAACGGATCAAGTGTTTGAAATGTCGTTGAGGTTAGATTACCAAATATGTCCGCGTTTTTCTACGCATACACGCGCGCGCTTACGCACGTGTACAAATGCATATGTATGGACATATGACATGTGCTGATAGTTGTGTATCCGATAACTACGAGAGAACGCAAAGATATATTATGTCACTTTCGCGTGTGACTTTTTAAAAACATATCAACGGATTGCGCGTTACTACTGCGAGTCGATTTCAATCGATTCCTGACAAGAATTTTTTAGAGACCATTTCTTTCCAATATGAAATGAACATATCTTGAATCTTACGACGACTCATAAAACAAGACCATCGATTCTGAAATTTATTGAAAATAAATACAACATATATTCATTCCATATAAATATTTATGTATGTGAAGAATTTCATATACTACTTGATACATATGCACGTTGCTATGTGAAGTTAGGTATTGATAGATGCGCGAAGAAGCGGTATTATATTTCGACGTTGAGCTGTACGCGCAAAGCAGTCTTCTATTTTTTTTAATCACAAGGCGATTAAAATGTGAGCATTTTTATACAAATAGTTTCTAGATTTGAAAATTATAAGAGTTTCAAATGTATTTATATAAGAATTATTAATAATAATTTACGTTGCATATATCCATGCAATAACAAATATCCTTGCATTCGTAAAAATAATTACGATCTTGCGACTAAGAAACAATGAATCTCTTAATTAAATAAATTCAAATAAATTAGTAACGAGATCTTCTAACTGCGAAACAATGGGGCCTTTAGCAGAATAGACGGGTCATTTCACATCAACGGATGCTCGTTTCCACGCAAGGCGAGCGTTCGCCAACGCCATTTTGATGCTGTTATACTACACTTCTCTGCGATATGAGAAAATCACAAAATAATTTCCAAAAATAGACGGTACTTCAAAATAATTTGCTGTTCGGAAATATTCATCAAAGAAATCTAAATTCATTTTGATGCGTCCAAAATTATAATTAGTTTTTCTTTTTATATAAAAGTAAGAACAGAATTTTTGTTTAAACTGCAATCAGTCGATCGTGAAAAAAATGCGCAAATAGAAAAGAAATCGAGTTCTTTGTGGGCGATTCGCGATTAACACATATGATGAAATAAAAAATGGAAATATATATATGATCACGATCGATTTTGTAATCGCACGACAGATCTCTGACAACGACTTTATGAGTCACATTTGTAACAAAAAAAATACGTTTCCTGCTTCCGAATACAAATTACTTTTATTTTTTTTTGTATCTACAATAAAAACTCATAGCAACGCGTAGCGAAGTGACTATAAATGTTAAATATACATTTTCTTCTCATAATCAATAAATAATACATTGTGCACGCTAGGAATGCACTTTACCTGAACCGAGGTGTCGCAACAAAAACGTCCGATATACAATTCATTTTGTAAATTATTTAGAATCTATCGACTCGTTATATAAACATATAAATTTTCTCCTGCATAAATAGATTTCAGCAACCATGACTGTTAAAAAGAAAGAAAGGGAGAGAGAGAGAGAGAGAAAGAGAGAACGGTGACACGAAGTTTATTGAATTAAAGAACTTCACTGGCAAACATACATATACAGACAATACGTATATGTACACGCATAAAGAATATCATACATAAAGAACAGAGGAGATAATACTTGAAACAAAGCACGTCAAAGTGACCGAAGCGGGCCAACTCGAAGACTTCGATCTTTTATTCTTCTTTCAACTCTTTTATTCTTTTGACGAGAGAGAAACTCTTGAAGAAGAGAACAATACATACAGTATAATATGCCTGACATACGAGAAAGCTCACGTTTCGACTATCCAGAAAGTATACATATATACATATGTACGTGTTTTTCATAAATTAAGTGCAGAGAGTTATATGCAGTCGAGCATTCATACTTCTTCGACGCTTTCTTTTCTTTTTTCCTGTGAATAGTATATTAATTAATTGAGGATAAATTCGTTAGTACGATCCTTGGTAATATGTAATTAGTAAATACAAAGGAACAGCACTATACCTAACCATTTGCTTTTACGTATATATTCATAAATTCCAACATTTAAGATGATTCTAAGTGCAACGAATGAACGAACGAGTATATAAAAGACCTCTCAATTTTCAAACATCGCTAAACACAAAGGACTCGGAAGTGGCACGATAAAAGCTGATTTTAAATACACGTAGGACCATGCTGAGAACGAAAGAGGAGGGATTTCACACAGAGAAAAAATACAGAGATGGTGAGGGTAAATGACGTAAGATAAGATAAGGTGAGGTTTGGTAAGCCAGGAGAGCCTCCTTCTTATGGGCGTCCTTATATGGTTGCAGCGCCCACGTGCACAACTCGACAAGCTTGCAGCATGCTTTCGGGCAAGGACTATGCGACTCTCTGGATTATTTTTCTCTTCCTTAGACACATTCACATTCATATTAGACGTGTACATGGAAACGCGTACTTTACATCGAACACGTTTCATCTATTTTTCAAATTCTATCCTCTCTAATATCTTTCATATTCTTGCTAAATAATGATCCAGAATATAAGCACTAACTAAGTTGTTTCTCTCTAACACGTGAAAATATACGGAGACTGACTTATGCAAATTAGAATTACCTCTTTGGTCTTGTTATCGCACTTAATAAAACCGAAGATTTCGACAGGGAGTCTGGTTTCTACTACTCTCTTCGCCCTTTCTCTGCAGACCATTGAAATAATACCTATAGTCGTGTTCATTCGCAAGAGAAACTTTCTAACTTTTCAGGAGGGCCTCTGTATATACATGATGAATGTGTTTTTTACGCACAAGAAGCACGGAAGTGCTAGATAGTATTACTCTTGTCGATTATTATTTTCTTTTCTATACGTATACGAATATAATAGATAAACGCACGTACACGCGTACGAATTTGAAGAGATTGACAATGAGTCACTTGAGATAAGATCGATATATTTACTGGATGCGACGGAATAGAATATAACGCGATCGATGTGATTTAGTTTATACAAAGCGTGGGATTGAAAAAGAAAATCAAATGCAAAACGATTCTCGCGTGTAAATCGACGTAACATCTAACCTAGCCAACTCAAATTCCTTTCTTTATCGCGCCTTTAAGATTGCAATTATGCAGATTCACGTATGCATCAACTTATCTCTCTACGGGGATGCATGTATATACACGGTGATATTGTATGTATGCCACTTGTTGCATCGATGATATTCTATTTTCAAAGTAACGTTTTATTTTTACCTATACTTGATCTCGTTACCAGGATGTATTAACGTCGAAAATTTTAATATATGTAAAAAGAAAAATGACATGCACTGAATGATATAATTTAGCAATTTATCTAGGGCGTGTCTTGAAGTTAACGTACTTGATCCAACTATACGTATATACTAGCGTATTTAGGACTAGTTTTTTTCGTAGCAATCGAGGCGCAACGTAATCTCGGACGAAGACATTATCGCCATCATAATTATAATCATAATCACTATCGCTATCATTACTGGCACTTGCAGCGTTGCATTAAATCGCACGCGCACGCACGCACCTAATTGACGAATACGCTCTACTTTCTTGAGCTTGGCCCATTCTTTCCTACATAAGTCGTTTGTGTTTATCTCCTCGATAGAAGAAAATAGATGCAAGACCAAGAATTCTATCTCTATCACAATCTATCTCTGTTTCTTTCTTTCTTTCTTTCCCAATGATGAAAGTTACGATGACTCTTCACCTAAACTATTCTTAGATGATCTTTTACGGGTATATCAACTCTGACGCTAGTGGTCTGTCCACTGTCGCTTAACCGAGCTCCAGATACCAGCGAACGTTCAAAATAGAGTTTGTCCGAAAATAGACCTGCACTGTCCGTGAATGCCCCTTTAATGCATAAGACAATAAAAAAAAGAAAATAATACGCGGTAGCAAGTCTCGAGAAAAAAATCTGGTTAGAGCTGACAGAACAAAAATCAGCTCCGATCAATGAGCTAGATATTAAATCTCGCTACGAATCCTTGACAATATTCGAGGTATTCTTTGAAAACCTTTCCCCCCCCCCACACCTCCACTTCTTCACTTTTTATTCTACTTCTTTTCTATAAAAAGAAGACAATTTTGCTGATGCTGCTCTTCAATCATATCAAGTCTCTTATTCTTTCTATACCGATTGCTATCGATAAAGCTATACGTTTCCATGGTATAAGGTGCATATAGACAAGTGTCATTTCTACCTACTCTCTATCGGGTGTATCGAAAATATATATATTATCACGAACAAATTCAATTACTCTTTATCGAAACTCGTTGGGCTAATTTTGGTTCCGTCGTAAGAGGAATCTTTGTAACCCAACCTGTATAATCGTAAAAACGATCGATCGAAACCGCGACAACGTCCTCATTCTATACGATGATGGGTCTTTTTATTGGTATCGATGGATGTATACTTGCGTACGCGTTAACATGTGACTGCGAATGAGATTCGCAATCCTTTGTGCAATTTCAATGAAGCAAATCGAGCGAGACTAATTTTCGTTGGCGTTGCACTGTGTATATCCTCCTATCGATTATGCGACTCCCACGTATAAGTATGTCTGCGTGTTTAATAAACCGCATATATAAACCGCGTTCAAAGCAATGATATATTCAGAGAGTATAAGGATTTATCACCCTTATACGAATCACGAATAACTCGAAAGAAAAGTCAAAGTCATAATCATCATTACTATCATATTATCATAATCCTATTCCTCTTGGCCTTAGTTGATTTGACTTTGAAATTTGATGGCGTTACTAGATGAGCCGCAAGTTTTCATCAGATGTACGCTACTAACGGGTTAACCGTAATACTTGTTAAATGCCTGTAACTTGTCACGGCAATTGTGCGTCCGAAGTTGTGGAAAAATTAATTGGACGACCGTTAAGTTCGCTAACGAACCAAAACGTGTTCGTTATAAAGCCGTAGGAAAGGATCCGTGTGTGAATCTTCAAGTATTATGACGTAATACGATAGAAATCGTCTTGTTGTTAGAAATACGCTAAGATTTATGCAATAAAAAGAAGTATAACTTCAAAAACCATTTGAAACTTTTCTATGGTTTAGTAGAGTATCACGCTCGATTGACCATGATTTGTTTTCACCAAATATACGAGATGATCTTGTTCCGGATAACCTCGACAAAAAGAATTCCATAATCAGTAGGAGCAAGGAGATTAGACTAAAAGGCAACTTTGAAAATGTACTCACAGTTGTTGACTTTGTTACTTTGTTGTCTCCTTCAAATTCTAAGATCGTGAAAACGCGAGCTGAAGCTTACCTTTTTAACAGAAATTTCTTCCTTTTTCGAAACTCGTCTCTCCAAAGTACTCTGGTAAGAAGGAACGCGCAATCTATTTGAGATCGAATATTGAACACGCGTAGTAACCATGCACGATGTTTTACATGGATTCTTTTGCATGTGTGTATATATCCATCTGAGAGAAAGAGAAAGAGAGAATTCCCTTTCTTGGAAAACGATCTGACTCATTCGACGTTGAAGAACGCGCAAAAGAAACCTTGCCGATCATCTAGTATACTTGTGTTTGTATCTCTGTACACATTTATATTATTCACATTGTGTATATACAAATTTCTAAAAGATAGATGGATATCAAAAAGAAACGATACAATTTATCGCTCTCGAAAAAAGTATCGATTTCAAATTCCAATATGTTCTCTTCTTTTCTTATCGCGAAACTTTAAATTACTTATTTGATTGGAAAATTTAATTGTAGAGAGAGGTAAAGGAGTGCACATAAATATGCAAATAAGCGAATCCCCGAGTGATAAGATAAAATTTGCAGTACACACACCGAGATTCCAATTAATTCTAGAAATTTTTCTTCAACATTATTTATGTTCTACAATAATTGTGGAATTTTCTTTGAAGATTATTTTTGGTAGAGTATAAAGTTCATCGAGGTTTCAGATCCAAATATAATTGCAGTGAAAAGGGTTAAACTTAACGAATGCGATACGACTGTAAACGCTACAGTCAGCATCTTTGAGCAGAAGAGAACTTTTCAAGCTGGTACCATGTTTAAATTAAATTACTCCGATTAAACAATTTTTTGGGAAAGTCTCGTAATTTCTAATAAACGTAATTCTTTATGCGTACGTATTTTGCGAGAACGTGACACGGTGGGCATTAAAAAATCGATTTCTCTGGCTGATTGAATACAGAAGCAAAATTGAATAGGACAATGAGAAAGTTATGCTAGATCCAGTTAATAAAATGATTTCTTTTGAATAGATATTCATTTATCATGCGAGATAAGTAATTGATAAGGTAGGCTAGCAAGAAACGGGAAGAGAATGATGCTTTCGTATTTTTGAAAGAAAGGAAAAGGAGTTCAACTTTACTGCATTTTATCGAAAGAACAATAACTGAACTTCGTTCTTATCCTTCTTTCCTCTTTTTGTAATCACACTTTAATTTACTTACTATTTAAATATCATTTGATGATTTTTAATTTTCAGTGTCTGTGTTTGTGACAAGAACTGATGTGCAACAAAATGAAATAATGCATTACATTCTGAAATGTTATAGTCAAGGACGAACGGAGACCTTATAAAGCTTTCGCGTTGGCGGATTAATATTGTCGAGTTAAATTTCGATACGCATACTAGGAGCAGCGTTAGAAAAATAATAGATGGAACTTGAGGGAACTTGAGAAATCGACGAGATTTTTTTCGACGAAAGTGGCCATGAAAGAGGTGCACAAAGAATACGTTTTCTATTTCTTTTCCTTTCTCAATATCTCAATTATTTGTTTGGATAGACGTTTCTTTCGATACATATGTTTATATGCACTTGCTGAAAAATATCGATATACTGGCGTTAGAATGCCAATTGGCATGCGGTGAAGTATTAAACTCGACATTTTTTTCTATCCACCGTTAATAGACATTACATAATTGAAATATAGTAGTAAATAAACTAACAATAAATCAAAGTCGAAGTAGAAAATTGGAAGGAGGAATTGCAGGGAACCGTCGGCTTTAATCTTGGCATTCGAGCGTTCCGATCGATATATGCGAAATCGACCAGTACGTTGCGGTCTCATGCAGGAAAGAATTCGCGTACATATAGGATGACGTTGAATTTGGATCGGCATGAACGCGGGTGTATTAATGTACTTATACATATACAATAAAACGCTAATGGATATAGTAGTTGTAATTTTTTGGACAAAAAATCTTTGCGTGCATGCATATATATTAAATGATGTACCTATCGTTAATTATCGATCGTACGTCGTACACATAGGACGTTGCATAGGAGTAACGAGTAAATTCTAAACTTTAAACGAGGGGACCCGTAATGCATGACTCATACCACAAGCTACTTTCTGGCAAGAGAGATAGAGAGAGAGGTTCTCTTTTACTGCGGCCAAGAATGCGGACATTTATCTTGAAGGAATATAAAATTTCGATTTCCGAGAAGACAACTAAAAGTTATTCCGGTCTAACCAAGATAAATGGCACTACAAAGTTTTGTACATTGTCGAACCCTATAAACGAAATTATATTAATGACTTACCCTAAATGTTATACTTTATTAATAATGTAACTTTTATGCATGTATGAATAGAAGTATTATTCGTGATTAGTCTCAATTGCTAATAATATCAACTATATAAAGTTGTTATTTGATGAATACCATAAATATTTAGATATTTCCTATTGCACGTACGTTATACATATGATTGCAAAGTGGTTAACAATGACAAAAACTCGTGCATATTATCATCTTCTATTATGAGTGCGCTTTCGTAGGCATCAACGGAGCTTTGCCGGTAAAGTTTTTGCTACGGCAAGATAACGAGCCGATTTATAAGTAGAGAAAGGGAAAGAGGGCGTGTGCACACGCAGAGGAAGAAAAATAAATAGATGAAAACGAAACACGAGGACAAAAAGGTAGCATTATTTCATGTGGGTAGAGAAAGTTAGGAATCGATAGTACCGATCGAGCACGAAACGCATAAATCTCGAACATTTGAATCGATCGTTATGCAAGTGTATGCAAACCTTTATCTTCCATATTACTTTACATTTTCTTCCGCAAACTTTGAAAGTTTTGTTTCCTGTCTATACGTTCGTTTGATAACCATCGAGATAATCAAGTTTAAATACGATTTCGATGAATTTGCAATCCTGGATAAACAGCCACGGGCCTATTTTAAAGTGATCGATAAGGAGTACGTTATCGTTTCTTGGAGAAAAAAAAAGAATGCATTGTGTAGCACACTGACTCATACATATAATTTTTTTCGCGCCAATAAACAAACGACGATTGATGATATCTTCTTTTTGTCCTAATTCAGAAAATGATCTAAACGATAATAAATATCGAGATCCATCCTTTTCTATGTTCCGTTGCATGTTAATATTTTTCTACTCGTGTAAACGTTCCAAATTATAAAGCAGCTAGGGAATGAAAGATCGATGCTCGGCTACAGTTTTCCCTGCGCTTACAGATATTCGATCGATGAAGCCTACGTCAAGGACACGAGATTCTATCGAAATATATCTTTCGAATGTGTATATGTCTATGTAGAGATCATGCGAACATCATTGTCTATAAATTTACTTGAAATTTCTTCACAATTATAAATATTACACAGTAGTTCAAATCATATTTTGATAAAAATAAACGTTAGAAAGAAACTATATATACATATATATATAACTGGTAGCAACGTCACAGGGAACACGACCGTTACGATACTTTTGATTCTCATAGATTTAAATGTTTAGCGAGTAACAAAGCCAAAAGAGAAGAGAGAGAGGGAGGTAAACAGCGAACACGGGGTTAGTAAATGAAAGATAGTGGCATTGTAAGAAAAGATGTTTATACCGGTGATTTGGGCACGAGTTAGACGAGAACAGAACATCCGCGGTACAACCATGGTACAACCGTCACGGTTTTCAAATGATAATACGAGACGCTCGATAATTTAGAGAAAGAGAGAGAGAAAAAGAGAAACAGAGAGGGGGGAAAAATAGGATGAAAAAAGCGCCAATATGGCGTCACACCCAACGGTCACGAGGAAATTTGTGAAAAATGTTAAGAAAATACTAATGCAAATTGTTCTGAATTTAGCGTATTATATGGGGGAACGCGGAGATTGGAAAAAGAAAGGATATGGGAGAAAACCGGTCGTGAGGCTATGACAGGACGAAGCTGATGCTGGACAGAAAGAGAAAGAGAAAGAAAAAGGTGGAGATAGAGAGGCTCACGCGCGAATATTTTAACGGTCGACTTCGCGAAGGGCTGCTCAAATCCGTGTCGATACACCCGCTAGAGTAATGGAAGAAGGTGGGGGAGGGGGAGGGGGAGGGAGTCGTTCGCGGCAAATTTCACGCGCAAGAGATAAGAGGAAATAGCACGTTGGAGAAGAAAGGCTTAGAAAGCCGCGAAATTTTGAATATTCTCTTTCTCTTTCTAACTGCAAATACAACGGTAACAACAAGGATGAAGGAAAACACGACAAACGCACTCACCGTCAGTTCTCTTGATGTTTATGCTATTGCCGGTTTCGATGTTGCACATGCCGCGGTCCATGGTCATTTAGTCCTTCGGCTGCATAAAAGATGACTTCCCTTTTATTTCAAATTTGGACGTTCTTCTCCGAAATGGTGAACGATCTCCTCCTCGGTTAGGAAAGAACCGTTTCTGCGAGGGTGAACGCTAGTTTCTGCCAACACGTCGAGAGTCAACGAAAACGGTCGGAAACCGTCGAGAAAGACGTGGGAGAAAGAGAGAGAGAAAGAGAGAGCAGCGGCGCTTGCGGTGGCGCCGATCGTAAAGACGATCGCGACGTTTCTTCAACTCGGTTGACGAATAAGAACGAGAGTCACTGTTTTCCTTTTCTTCTTCTTTCTCCTTTTCCCTTGGTATCGTACCTACCGTACCGTTTAAATGTAAAACAGGCGTCGTCTCTCTCCCTCGCTCTCGAAATGCACACGCCCGATTGTTGCTTTAAATGTCGGATCCGCACGCGGAACGCTTCGACAACGATAAATCTCTTCTCCTGCTTAATTGTCTTCCTTCTTCCTTTTTCTGATAATCCTGATAGTACTCGTCGTCGGTTGACGCGACGACGATCATCAACACGAGAGACGCTACCACTATTCTTCGTTCTCGTTTTTTTCTCGAGGATGACGTTAAAACGAAGCGCGCTAAAACACCGATCGCGATAGCTTTAAACGTACACAGAGATAACGGGTACACGCTTGAAATCGCTTTTACGAATTACATCCGGGGAAGGTACATTGAATCAAGCGAGAGACAGACGTTCACTTTTCTGCCGGGATACTGCCAGTGTTGTCCGTTATTGACAACGGAAGGGTCGCGAGCGCCAGCTCGCGGTTGGCTGTTAACGCCAGCTCGCGGTTGGCTACTCGCGCCGAATCGCTCGAGTTGCCATCTGTCGGAATTGGCCCTCGAACAACTACATGCTATATTCCGTAAAAACGCTTCAAGTGCCATCTCTCGAATATATTTTGAAACAATAATTGCATGCAAGATATAAGCGGGAATTTCAATTCAAATTCAAATGTTACGCGTAAACGAAAACCAAATCATTTTATTTCGAATGATTAAATATATGTTTCTATCAAAATAAAATAGGAATGTCTGTATTTTATTTATTAAAATTTGGTCGACGATGGTAATATCGCTTGGCGTACCCACGACTTGAGTTCTTCTAAATCAAAGTCAACATCTGGACCGACTACTTTTTCGATGATATGTTTTACCCTAAAATTATAATAACATAAAAGATCATACGATCTTGTGTGCGTTTAGAGGTATGGGCTAGGACTTACGTATCTTTTCGTTGAACTTCGGGTATACGCGAAGGAAGAGTTCCCTGTTTTAAATTCTTAAAAACCTATCATAATTAAAAGAATTCAAAAGATGAAGATTTGAAATATATATAATAAAAATTGGCCGAGAGATTAAAAATACCTCCAAGCTGCGCTTTATAAGCTGTTCGTTAAGACCAGCACTTTTTGCTACGGAATGTGCAAAACTGCAAGTAGTATTTCCAACTACTAAACAATAAAGAAATGCAAGAGACTCGTCGTCGTTCGTTATGAATTCAAAAGTCTGGAAACAATAAACGTGATTTAATACAATCTTCTGACAAATGAACGAGTCGGAAATGATTAAAGTACTTGGGCTTCAATCATAGGATTTTCAGGCAACAATTCTGTTACGCGATGAATATGAGTTGCAGCGAATACATGAGGACAATAAATGGCTCTCTCCACGAAGCTATCTAGAACGGCAGTCAGTAATGAAAGACCATTTATCTCTGATGTGCCTTTGCCAAATTCGTCGATTATTATGAGTGAATTTGGAGTCGATGCATACAAGGCCATATTTATCTGCAAATAAATTATTGTATGAATTTATTCGTTTCGTTTGTAATGAAATTTACCTGTCGAAGACTTTGCAAAAATGCACTCGCATCTAACGAAATACTATCTATAGTAACAATTTGCGTTAATATATGAGTCATAACACCGATGGTCGCAGATTTAGCAGGTACAAAACAACCGATATGTGCCATGAACACTATAAGTGCCACCTGCTTAAGATATATACTCTTTCCGCAAGAGTTCGGACCGGTTATAATTTTGACAAGGCTTTTCCCTTGTCCAGAATAAATATCATTCGGTACATATGTGGTATGAAATTCTTGTAAAGGATGTCGTCCTTGTTTCACAGCTATAACTTGCGACATGACCACATTTGGTCTCACGTAATTATGATTCCGTGCCACTTGTGAGAAGGATAGCAATCTGCCGGAAGAGAAAGAAATTTTCTAATGATAGACCATACACCCGGCTGTCGCGTTTCTACAACTATCATCCAACCGATAGAGAATGGTGAACGTTATCCGCTACAACGCATTTTTTATCTGACGTAAGTCGCCATGTTAAAAAGCTGACGTCAAAATTATGCGATGTCATTCGACCTCTATTTCTATATTATTTCATTCGATAAATTATGTACAAATTATATCTACTCACGTATCTAATTCTGCACACAGTTGTATTGCAACTAATATAGAATTTGCATGTTTGTTTATATAGCGTACCAATTTTAACATAATTTCACTTTGTCGTTTCGTTATTTTCGACATAATATCTCCTATGCTGTTGTCTAATTCTATAATTATAAATTAAACAAAATAAAACACATTTAATAATCCGAATAAGTAAAGCGATTCACTATAGTATCATTTTTTATTACGAACCTCTAGCACAAGGACTCTTATAGAAATGTATACCGTTAATCGTAAATTTAAATTCTAAACCAGGAATATCGTTTGCCTCGGGTGGAGTACGATCCCATTGTTTTATAGCCAATACGTAACCGATATTTGGTAGATAAACCATATTACAACTTGTAACAGATGTAGGAAGATTATCTTGCATATCTTTTTCTCCCATCTTTGTTAAAAGTTGAGGTAACGCGCATTTTCGATTGCGTACTACAAAAGTCAAGTAATGATGAAGTTGAAAGAAGTAGAATTAAGAAGAAAATTAAATTAATTTGATGAAAAATAAACTTACGCTCGTCTAATTGAGGATCAACGTCGGATCTAACAACAAATGTATTCTCACGTCTGCTTGCTTCAAAATCAACAATTAATTCAATAAAATATTTCACGTAATGCATTTCATCCGTAATGGTGTTCACTATTTTTTTGAATAATTCTATCTTGTCGTCATAATTTTCGCAGATATACGCGATGTAAAGTATGTTAGTAACAGTCTACAAAAAATACGCTTCGGTTATTATGTTAATTGTCTCAATTAAAAATTCAGAGAAAACAAAACAAACTTTATGCAATCTTTGCCAATCCGAAGCTCTCGCTCGTGGACCCAAATAACGACTAAGTATTGCATTTGTTAAACGATAAATATCTTTCAAACAAGTTGTTAAATTTTCAACGACACTGTGATTTGTTGGATCCAAGAAAAAGTCTATCGCGTCGAATCTTTGATTGAGTACTTCGATGTCTCTTGTTGGATGTCGAATTGTTTTCCTATATGATGATTACAAATAAATAAATGAATAATTAGATATCTCCAAGAGAAAAATATATATTTTTCAAATGTTAATACCAACCATAAAAATTGTGCACCTGGCCTTGACTGACAACAATTTAACAGTGCAAATAAACTACCGCTTTGCATTTTTGTAGACGCATTACCGAACTTGAAGAAACTTGGATGATATTTTGTTTGAACGATATTTAATGCTTTGTAAGAGTCATCGTCGATCATTACAAGCTTTTCCCTTTTGAAGAAAAAATAGAAAAAAAAAAACAAGAAATTACGATCATTGGGTAAAGAAGTTAAAAACAACAAATATTTTTGATGAGACAAAGTGGGCCAAGTTATGTAGAGATCAAATAATCCTTAAAATGACAAAACATTTGTTATTTGTTCCAATAGCAAGACACTTACAAAGTAATGCAATTCAAGGATATAAAAGATGCTTTGCCGGAAGGATCTAGAGTAATGGTATTCCAATGTTTATCGATAAATTTTAAGAGTAATCCTAAAGCATGGATCATCGCATGAGCTTTAAAATCGAGCAAAGCATTTAGAAATGTAACTCTTTCAGAATTGTCGGCATCTTTCGGTTCCGAATTGAGTTTCAGGCATCGAACTCTGTGATAACAAGTTTCGTAACTATTTTCTTTTTTCGGTAAAGCTTTAAAAATTGTTTGAATCGATCGATCGCTCGAACTAGAACTTTGATTATCCTCCGCCGTATCCATCATAACGAGCTTTTTTATACAATTAAGGAAATCGTCGGATATTCCAAGTATCGTGATAATATAATGTGGTTGACACTGTTTAAAAATTGTCTTTGTAATATTAAAATTAACCGTGTCATCGTGAGTATCTTCCATTACAAATAATTCTGACGTTACGATGTTGTAATAAGCTGCACCCAAACGGTTATTCGTCCATATCAAAGATAAAACGATCTAACAAAAGCAACATTATGTTGTAGAAACAATCAAAATATAAAGAATATTAAATACTTGCCTCATCTCTATTTTCTAAATTTTCTAAACGTTTCGCATTACTTGTGCTACTTTGCCCAGTCGGTAAATTTTCCGTAAAAGATTCCTGCATTATTTTGTCCGTCGATTCAGAATCCTCTTCGTCGCTGGTTTCTTCAAATAACATTGCCTCGAATTCTGATTGTCTTTAACGATATCAGAATATTTTTGTAATTGTAATTTCAAAACAAAAAACAGCACTACAGTTTAACCGGTTTGAAAATTTGTGCGATTCAAATGAATTCGAAAAGATAAATTATTCATACATACATGACATGTTCTTGGAATTTTTTAATAGTATTATTTCCTTCGGAAGAAGTAATTTCTTTATAATTTTCGCACTCCATAGTATTAAGGATTTGTTTTTAATAGAACAATACCTGTGATCGTTGTCAATTATCCTCGATCATACGAATAAGTACTGTCTACTACTCGAGTGAGTTTAATATCTATAAGAAAATCTAATTTTTACACTTAGATGATTGTGTATGTACTAATGTTTGCATAATTAATTATTTATCAGCTCATAATTAATAGAATGGCATATCAAGATTAATGTACAATTTAAGAATATTAATAAATACATAATTCAATCTTGATAGTACTTCTGATATTGTCTACTACGTAATGGCGCCAAAATTGAAATTGAATGCACTAAAATTCCACTACTAATGTCTACATTGAATAAAATGTTTGTAAGTAAATTATATTTGATACTTACGTTAAATAATTAGATCTCTTATATGTGCATACTTAGATTTATATGAATAAAAAAGACATCGTCATAACAATGTAATTATTTAATCGAATACAATTCATTAGTATAGATTTTTTGAACATGTTATCTGTACATAATTACAAAATATGGACCCTAAACCATTTGGAATAGTGTATTTGATGTAACTATTATTCGGCACACAGTTTTGTTGGAGTGCATTAATTTATAATGCAATAACGCATTTATCATATGCTAATAATCTTTGATTCGTTGTTGTACTTATCACACTATTATATCTTAAGTTAACATACTAAACGAATGTATCAAGAATTACATGGAACACATTTGGTTAGGAGTTAGATCATGTTATTTGTTACACGATAAATCATTATTTGACATTAGTTACTCGTATGGATTGAATATTGTTTAAAAAATAGCATCTCTTTATATAAAATAAATGTTCATTTTAAATTAAATCATATCCTATTTTCTTGTTTAATCGTTCTATCTCTTTTCTTCTATAAATTCTGATTGTAGATATTTCAAAAAATATTGAGCTGGTATACCTATTTTTAATTTTGTACGAAACTTTGTATTTAACTTGGAATGGGCTGGGGTGGTTGAGGGTTAAAAGAAATTGGTCGATAGCTCTTCTCCCTCACGAAAGGTTGAACTCCGTTTATTGTAAAGCCATTAATGGGATTTCGTTCTTGCTTGATTGGTTCCACTGGACTTTCATCCTCCGAACTGACAGCTTCCTCGCTTCGTTCTGGGCTAGCCGACCTATTTAACGTTTTCTCACTCTTTTCACTTTTGTCTTCGATTCTGATACATGCATCATTTATATTTTCTTTGTGCCCTATGTACCTCTCCCTTCAAGAAAGTATCGTATAATCGTAAGCTACATCATAATTAATGTATAGGCACCTTTTTCTAGCCCAATACGTAAATTATTTAGAAGCACGTACGACAGCGCGATGCATTCGTTTTGTTTTAATCAAAGCGTTGTTAGATGACTAGAAGTGTTAAAACTACTTACTTTACTTTCATTTTAATACCTGCATGGAATAAAAATCAAAAGCCAAACATTAGTAAGAGCTCTCGTTGCGAATAGTTTATACGGTTTGTAACATATCAGGGTTATGCTTTTTCAATAAAAAAAAAAAATGTTATATGAGCGTAAGATGAGGTCATGCAGCATGCTGCTGGGCATAGTATTTTAGATTCGTAAGGTAATCGATAATAGAGTTTAGAAATCGTGTATTCAAAGAATCTTCTTAGATCCATTCCAACGTTCTACTTATTCGCCTATTTGATCAACTTAAATATTATCGATACTAGCTGACCAGTATTTAAGCATGGAGAAAAGACAGGAGACTGGCTCGAACATACCTAGAACGTAGAGGTTTTCCTTTGCCTCCTGTTTGCCTAGAATGTGGCCTGGTATTTGGTTGCGATAATTCACTATCGCTGCTAGCTAAGGATGACCTCGCTGCAACCGCGCCGTGAGCGAAATCCTTTCTATTTGCGGAACATTTGTTAAGTGCCTTTTATAATCCAATTTTTTGTATAAATATAAATTCGTGTTAATCGCTTATGAACAGCTGTTACCTGTAATTATCAGATCTAGGAGTTGAATTTAGATTCGTAGCTTTGCCACCGTGGGTATTTGCATCGACAAAGACTGCAGAACTTTTGGGAATATCGCAAATGACTTTTGGATGTACGGTGGTCTGTTTGTACTCTAAATGAGATGAATTTTCCGGTGTCCAAGCGTAATATTTCGGCCGATAATCTTTGTATTCTCTTTGCGGTTGTTGTCTTGATTCAGAACTAGTTGCTCTTTTTCTATGATGCTCGTCACTGCTAACACTATTCTTACGATTCGCCGTTAGGGTTCCGAGTGGAGCAGATGTTGGTGACGAGGCTGACGATGACGGTGCACCATCGGGATCAGCTCGAGACAATTGTGACGTGTCCCAAGCCGAAGGCAAACTACTGTAAATCAAAGCGTTTGAAATTGAAAATAAGGTATTTAACTCGTATGTGCGTATAAACATTAAGTAATCAAATCTCTACCTGAGATGTTCGTCCATATTATATAATCGAAGCTGCTGTCTAATATTCGCTTTCTCTCTTGCCCGTTTCCGTTGAAATTCTTCCTCGACTTTCCTCATAGCTTCGAGCTCTCCTTTTCTCTGATGCTCCTTAGCTTCAGCTTCGCGAGATAATTTCTCGGCTAACCTACGTCTCTCGATTTGCCTAACAGTTGATTGAAACGTGAAACGTTTACCTTTAGAAATATTTTTAGCTGGTGCTTTGATTTCGGAAGAAGATTCTTTATTGTCTTGCACATTCTGTGATTGTTCAATGTTAGGCGAGGTGCTTCTCTGTTTCATCTCAGATACATTTTCGCAGGACTTTGAAAAATTTGAAAATCTATTATGCGAATTCATACTTTTCTCAGCGAAAGAAGACCTCTCCCCATAGGATCTTAAATGTTTCAACTTTCGTGATTTGTCCTCGATCGCGGAAGACTTTTTCTGATCATCAACGATATTCTTCTTATACTTCGACGCGGAATTAGCGAAATGATGATTTTTCAAAGGTCCATTGCTCTTATAATTCAAATTTTGTGCTTGGTAAATAGTATCATTGGCTTCCGGTAGATACATGACATGACCACCGGAAGCTAAATAAGAAAAAGACGGAGGTTTCATGATCACAGGGAAGTCGTTTCTATTTTCGGAATCTTCTTGATCGTCGTCGTCGTCGTCGTCGTCATCGTCATCGTCGTCGTCGTCATCGTCGTCGCCATCGATGTCTTCGTCGTCGAAGTCTTGTTTCCATCCAGAAGGCGAGGATCGAGTTACGTCCGTAATTTGATTGAGTTGCAAGGAGGTTGGTGCACTACTGGACAGTAGCCAATTGTCATCGAGCACGTCGCCTACACGTTTCTTTTCTAAATCTAACGGACCGAGACCGAACGCTCCTGACATCGTTCTCTTTAACTTTTGCAGCGAATTGAACGCGGATCCTTCTTTACCCTTAGTTTCGGGATTATAAAGATACATCCTATTGTCGTCGCGTGGCAAGGAGAGAGAGAAGACATGAGCTTTCGGTGTAAATTTCATTGGCGTCGGAATCGGAGGTGGAGAATCTACGCCAGCATCGCTGCTCGATTCTTCGCCTAGATCTTGTTGAGGAGTCCACGCGGGTCTCGTTGCCGATGTTTTTATTCTGTTCATCGTGCTAACGTCTAGAGAATCGTCGTTGCCAGCTCCAGCGTCCCCGGATATACCCGAATCCCCTGATTTATCGTGCGAACTTCGAGGCCCCAAAGCAATCAATGGTGGGGGTGGCCTCGACAAACGTTCGATCTTTTCTTCGAACATGACCTGCAATGTATATCGTTTCAAAATCATTCAACGCTCGATCGTTTCTTCGCGTATTATTCGTTCTAATTCACTTACAGGAATTTCTTCGCTAGCGGTACTCATCGTTGGACCGGGCGCTTCTAACGCGGATAATAATCTCCATGCTGCCGAAGGAGAAAATCTCGGTATTTCTAATTGCTTTTTCGGAAGAGTGGGTCGAAGTTTTAGCGAAATATCTTCTGGTCCGCTTTTTATCTGAAAGAACACGTTCATCATAATCTTTGTTCAATTTGTCAATGCTCGTTAAAACTTACTTCGTCGCGGTCGTCCATCGAGTATTCGTTCGACTTGTTGATTTCTCTAACCTGTAGTCTCGATTGGATGTGGTGCATTTGTTGGTCCACGCTATTTCGCGATTCTTTGGATAAGGCCTCGCCCATGCCAAAATAGAAGGTCTTTGGAGTTGATTTTTCTGTACGCGGTAATCTGTAAAGTACAATTCGTATTTTAGATTGGACTCTTTGAAACAAATATGAAGGGTCATGGTAATGGTCTTACATGTGCCAGTTTTCGACTGGTTCCTTCGTGTCCGATATTTTCATGAGCTTATCTTTGGCATTTGGATCAATTTTTTCTATCACCACTTCGGCATCAGACCATCTTTTTTCGATGTTCTTAGAGTCGTTCGTTTTCGTATCTCTTTTACACCACTTGGGATCTGAATTTTCTTGATCTCCTCTTTTATGTTCCTGTGGTTCCGGTGTACTTTCTCTACCAGATCCTTGTCCTCGAACATCAAATTTATCTCTGTTGCGATGTCTAATTGGACTTTCCGACCTAGTCCTCCCAATATCGACGACGTCCTCAAATTTTCGATTCTTCGATAAATCGCTCGATTTGCGATAATCCTCCAAATCTCTTCTCTGCTTGTCCGAAAATCTTTCTTCTATAGAACGTCCAAGCGTATCGAGCCTGTCTTTTAATGACTTTTTGCCTTGTTTCGTAGGTTCGTCTTCGAAATTGGTTGACTTTTCGACGCTTCTCTTCTTATTAACTAATCCATTATCTTCTCGTTCCTTCGAGCAATCCTTGTTCGTCCTCCAGGCATCATTCCTACGATCCTCGCACGAGGTTGTCTTGTTTTCCACTCGGCTACATTTCTCCGCTATAAGTCTCCTCTCCTCATTCATGCGTGAAATGATTCTATCTAAAAGGATCGAAATATAAAAATATAAATTTCATTTATAAATAAAGATAGAGAGATAACTCGAGGATACGTACCTTCGACAGTTCGTTCCTCGATAGTCGTTGTCTTGGGGTTTCTTTTTTCCGTTTTTTTCTGCTCCTCCTTGATCAACTTTTCTTTCGTGGTCTTTGAAAGCTCCACATTCTTGCGCTCTAAGGACGCGACGTTGGAGAAATCATGTTGACCGGTCGACTTCCTGCCACAGTTCAACTTATTCCTCACTTTCTTAGCTACTTGCATCAGTTCCGCCTGGAACTCAGGACTGCTCATACTCCTTTGAAGCGTGTTTTTGCCATCGAATCTTTTCGAACGTCTCAACTCGTCCCTGCACCATCGATCTTGTTGCTGCAGTTGCTGCTGCTGCGACTTTTGTGGCTGCTGTTGTTGATCCTGTTCCCGCCAGGATGGCCTTTTATTCTCGTGTTCGTTCGTCCATCTTCTTTCGTTCTCGAGGGCTGCCTCGTTACGTTCTTGATGGGATTGGGTAGACGAGTTGGACATCCAATTGATCTGTGCCTTCTTCGTTTCCGCTCTAGTTTTAAAAAGCCGTGACCTCCTGGGTGGCGGCTGAACTTCTTCCTCGTGTTTACAACGACCATCCTGGCCAAGTTCCCACTTGTATGAATCGGGTGAGGAACCGTCAGCCATGACATTACCAGGTGGTGCTGGTGCTTTGTACTTCTTCTTGCCTTTATATCGACTTTCTCGTTCTTTAGAATCTCTTTCGGGATAATAACCAGTACAATGGCGACGTTCTAAACCGTGTCGTTGCCTACTTGTCGGATTGGAGCGTTCCGTTGGAGAATACCTCAAGTCTGGCTCGCTACCAAATCTTTTCAATTCTTGCATTTCATTTTCCATGCAATGAGAATCACTTTGATAATGACAACAGTGATGATCGGACTTGCGTGATCTAGATATGCCGATGTTCGACGCCGAAGTACTTCTACTACGAAAGACCCCTTGCTAGAAAATAACAATACATATTTATTAGATGTTATCGATTCAAAATCCTTCTAATTGAATTCTATGTTAAATTGTACAAGGAATGAAATCGAGTATGCGTTTAATTCAACTATCACGTAACGAGGCAAATTTATAAGAAATTCAACGAGACCTATTGTTAGTATAATAATGAAATAACGGAGTATCTCGAAGGTCATGTAATACATTCCGAGGGTTTCTAGTAAAAAACGGCTTTCTAAAACGAAAGCTTAACCGGGTTATCGATGCACCGACTGGCTCGTCGCAAATTTTCTTCGAACCTAATTTATTTGAAATCATACAAAAACGATAAAAGAATATTATCATTACAATTATACTCGTGCGACTTGGTTAATGTTTATCTTATTATGGCTACGCTATAACTTCAACGTCAAAGCCTTGAAAATATTCAACGAGAAAACATTTGAGTATTAAACATGATATCATTCAAGATCAACTGTTCTTTCATTGGGAAATAACTAAAAGTCTATATTAGATCTTGGAGAGAGAGAGAAAGAGAGGCACACGCGCAAACACAGTTGGTTACCTTATTAAGATCGTGTGGCAACGTCAGCGCCGAAGGTCTGCGTCCACTTATGGTCCCGCCGTTGTGGATAATGCTACCATTATTGGTAGCACGGAGCCTTTGGTTGGGTGGTTCTGGGAGGACCTTGTGTCCAGGAGGTTGTGAGTGGTGTCTCGTCAGTTCCCGAGGGAAGGATTGAGTCCATCCTCGAGCCATCTCTTGAGATAGCCCATTCGAGGGACACTGTTGATGGGAACTACCGTTGTTACCCATCTTCCGGACTAGTCGTCTTTCTGACGATGAATCTCATTCGCTATCCATCTTCCATCTGCAATAAGGAAGTTTTTAACGATTAGAGGACGTTTTTGTTTAGACAAGAGTTCCAATCTTTAGATGGTGGAGAATTCATTGAAGATTATCGTAAGGGATGAAAGAAAAAGAAAGAAACAGGAAAGAGCTTACTATTAAAAGCGACTATCAAAACAATCAACTATGACGCGTCAGGGTTGCGTCAGGGTTGCGTCAGGGTTTGCTTTTCGTATTTGCTCTCTGAATGGTGGGATTTCCGAGGCATCATCCATTACGAGCTGCTTCCACCTGGTCAAACAATAACTGCATGCTACTAGCAACAGCAGTTAACCACTTTATACAACGGACTGGAACGAAAACGGTCGTTTACTAACCACGAAACAAGGCACGTTATTCTGCAACACGACAACGCTCCGCAACGCGTTGCTTTATGCACGTGAGACACCATTTATGCTTTGGGATGAAAAGTTCTTCCTTACGCGTCTTACTCTCTAGACTTTTTAAGGTCTTACAATACTATTTGTCGAGGGAGTGCTTCAAGTCTAGGTTCGAAAATGTATACAAGATTTCATAGTCGGTAAACCACCGTCGTTCTGACATTTATAAATTAGCCTAGTAGATGGTAATAGACTGTAGAAAATAACGGTGAATATTTGAAAACATAATCCTGTAGCTAGCCTATTTGTAATCAGATTACAAGTTAAGAAAAGTTAAGAAAAGTTAAGAAAAAAAGGTATCGAATTAATTTTGACACCTAAAGGATAGATAAACGATAGAGATAAGTGGAGAGAGAGTAACGACCGGGATGAGTCTTCTTTCCAAAGTAATCTCTGCCATTTACCGCTGTCGATGCACCTGCCCAACCTGCACACGCGACCCGTCGATCGCGACCGGTAGTACCGCTAACCAGTGACTAACAGCAGATCGCAAAGTGCCGAAGAACAATCCGAGGAAATGCTGTAGTATCTTAATGAAACCTTTGGCTATAGAGGAAAACTGGATTTCTCTAAAAATATTGCTAGATTTGAGCGGTATCGAGACGGACCCGTTAAATAATAATAACGCAAACAGGTTCTATCATGGTTGCGTTGGAGAAAATGATGTCGCGTATCGGCATATTACTAGAAACATTGAAAATTAATACCTACCATCTTAACTGCATCTATATTGGATCCGAATGAAATGAGATTTGAAGAAAACGTAATGTATCAATTCACCAGTGCATCAAAATCACAACAGATGAATGGGAAAAACATTTCACAGAGCTGTACAAAAACGAGACAAAGGAAACGTACAACAAAAGCGAGGAAGAAGAAGAGGAGGCACTAAACGATTACATTATCTCATCTGAAGAAATACAAAAAACAATAGACAAATTAAAAAACCGTAAAACACCAGGAACAGATGAGATAATAAACGAACTAATAAAATATGGGGGAAGACCACTAACAGAACAACTAAGTACCCTATTCGACAAAATAGTAAAAACACACAAAGTGCCATCCCAATGGAAAGAGAATATAACAGTTCCCATATTCAAGAAAGGAACTAAGACAGAACCAAAGAACTACCGCGGAATCAATCTCCTAAGTGCAGTACAGAAGGTGATAACAAAAATCTTGGCGAAGGTAGTAGAGCGGACAGGAATAAGCAAAGAACAGCAAGGCTTTAGACAAAACAGATCGACGGAGGATGCAATATTCATACTATGGTTTCCTATGGTTATGGACGTTATTCGCGTAGGTAGGCTTATCGAAGCGTCATTGTAGAAAATAGTCCGAAGGTAACTTTATACGCTATTAAGCTCGTTACTTGACTAGTCTCTTCGTCCAGCCGGTCGTTCCTTTAGGATCAGATTCCTTGGCGCTTGGTGCTTGCCAAAGGAACGTTTCACTTCCGCCAGGGAGATGGCGGAGACGAGAGATTGATCGATCGATCATGTTCTGGAAGGAAAGATGGGGAGACGCCGAAGGGGGATTTCTCAAAGTTTCTCCGGAAGACAAGTCCGATATCTGAAAGCCGACCGAGGTTCACGCCTTTGTCAGTTAGGATCGGTTAGGGAGGCGAGTTTGATTGCGTGGGCGTTCGTGTTGGGAATGCATGCATTCTTCCCACAGAGTGGTAGCCGAGAATCTGACGACGGAGTTAACGAATACCCGTCAGGATAGAATGGCAAGATTTTGTCTACTCGACCACCCAATAAATATCTCTCTCTTCCTGTATCGATTCAAGAGCTGCTGTTTTCCGAGGAGAAATAACGAAATAAAGGACGTTTACCCGCGATGACGAGCGGCACGAGGACTCGCAGGCACAAAGTGCCGAGTGGTGCGTGACGGACGGCAGTGGTTATGATAACTCGGGCGTGGGATGGGGAAACGAGTAGTAGTAATAGTAGTAGTAGTAGTGGTAGTAGTAGAAGAAGAAGAAGAAGAAGAAGGAGAAGGAGCAGGACAAACGTTCGTCGTTTACGATGATCACCCTGGAGAGTCATCGAACCTACGACGAGAAGAAGAAAGATCCTTCGTCCTCCAGCTTTAGGACGATCTCTGATTGGATCCAGTGAGAAACTCGATTCGAATAAAGTACGCGTTACGTTCTTGTTTTTGCAGCTTGTCGCCATTTTCGATGATACCTATCTTCTATGTCCACGCCCTTTTCTATAGTCTAGAAGTTTGCTACAGTTACGTGTAAGTTTCTTCTTCTTCTTCTTCTTCCGACCGAACTGATGAATTTTAGTTGTATCTTAATGATTACCTCTTGCCACTTTCGATCGTAAAGAACGAAATGCCGAACGAAATGCCGATCGAATTTCCCGGAAGGTATCTTCATCCTCTTCCAACTCGTTCGGCCTTTCTCAGTCCGCTTCCTTTACCTTCCCTTCTTCCTCTTCCTCGCGGTGGAATATTTCGCCGGGAGACATTCCGCCACGCGAGAACGTAAGCTGGAATTATGGCGCTGCTCTGTCTCGAGCCACAGGAAGGACCGTGATATCGCAAAGGATAACGTACTCGCGTCAAATAACAACCCTTGACAGGATCCCTATAACCTCGGAGATCGTTTTAAGAGACTTTCATTTATTTGAAGAAGAAAAATATTAATCGCGTCGATGTTTGTGTGTGTGTGAATATCTTCTCTGAAAGTTCGCATCATCCTAACCGAAGAGGTACATTAACGATAGCGTGCGATAAACTGGTATAGGAGGCGTGGCCTCGTGGATATTTAATACCCATAAGGTAATAATAGAAATGAAATTTCTCTACCGACTGTACGGCACGTCATTGCACCGCCACGGATGTGAGGTGACTCCGAAGTGAATGAATCCAGGAAGGTAATCCGATGCAGTGTAAAGATCCGCTCAGCTGTGAGTTCACGATCCTCTACCACCCGTTCTTCCTTTCTTTCTCTCCTCTGCTCTTCTTCTTTCTCCTCTTCCTCCTCCTCCTCCTCCTCCTTATCCTCTCGTAGATGACGAATAATACCGGAAATAGTTTTAGCGCGTAACGGGCTAAATTTTTCTCAATGCAGGCCAATACGTCCTACGCATTATCGACTCGATTCCAAACAGAGAGAGAGAGAGAGAGAGAAAGAAAGAAAAAGAGAGATATCGCCTTGGAATAATCCCAGAAATCTCTTTCTATCAAGGAACAATCAGAAATAGGACGAAGAAGTATAAGATCCTCAAGGACTCGCATATTTCTTCGGACGAGCAATGTAACCGATCTTCCAACTCTTCTAATTCTCGACGCGGTAAATGCAGATTGTGCCAAGTATATGTCTAAGCCTGTCTCGCAATTCTTGCTTAATTGACGCCGAGATCCTTTGGATGCCGTTCGCTCTCCGATGCTTTCCTTCTAGGGTTAACTGAAGTCTGAAAAGCGATAGATCGCGCGTGGCTACTCACTCAATCGGTATACATCGAGTAACACTTTTCCTCATTAAAGAGGAAACCGTCACCGCCATCGCACCTACTGGAAGAGGTTTAATTAATCAGGAATAGTAATACTGAACCATCTGTCGTCGTATTTCCAATATGTTCAACGTACATACCTACTTGGAATCCTTCGCGACCGCTCGCGCGTGATCCTACAAATATGCGATTTTTATTCCACCTTCCTTTGAAATACTTTGCCGATATTACACATATAAATAGATTTTGTCAGTATATTAGAAATATTGAATCCTCAAGAGTAACAGCAGTCGAGAGATTATGAGAAAGCTTAGGAACGTTCGATCGGTAAATCATAGCTGGAAGGCAATTCAATGAATAAGAGAGAAGGAGAGAGAGATGGAAGCTCGATAGATTAGTCGTGTAGTAGGGTAGAACGGTCGAGAGAGTGCAATGGCTCGTACGCAGGATGCATCGAGAGGCATCCTGCATTCGTACGTGTCCGCGATTCGTAATCGTGCTACGTAATCCGCAACGGATACTCTCCTCGCGTATTCCTTTGCCCGTAGGCCTGCCTGCCTGCGTGCCATTATATAATTAATCATTTAACTCGAGTTTGTCATGTGAGACCGTTCGTGACGATACTCGTTGTAATTAGACAATCGTTAAAAATTTTTTTCTTTTTTTTTTTTTTTTTTTTTTTTTCTTTTTTTTTATAATTTTCTCCTACTCGCCCGTTTGGGTCAGCACCAAAAAGTCCGCATTAAAATAAAGACTGGAATAGAAAACACTGAAAAAGTATATATAATTATGAAACCACGAGAAATATTCTTGGAATTACTAGGATTGCTTAGAAATAAGCACAAATTTCTATGTCAAGATGGATGCATATTTCGCTGAAACGAAATGCAACGTTGAATCAAACTCGAACAAATTTCTAGCCAATTGCAACATTTTATACAAAAGTCGTAGGGATAAGAAAAAATCGAATGTTTTCTCTGGCATTCGGGTTGCATAAATATAAACAAATAAATGAAATTATTAATATTAACAATAAATGAAAGTATTCGTGTTTTGACCGCGAGTCGATGGTTATGCTAATTGCAGTGGTGTACAATTTGTGTCACGGTTAG